ATGGAAGGACACTAATATGGAGGTTGTACCATGTAGGGTGTGGAGAGTAACAAACCCCCAAGAACCTTAACAAGGTAAATCTGTCCCAATATTAACCACTTCACATGCATTTTGGTTGAGCTTACTGTAAAAAAGGCATGTTTTCATCACCTGGGTGGTCTCTCAGTAGAAACTGTATAGCATTTTGCAACACCTACTGTGAAATCAAATAATATACATAAAGAAAATATGAACAAAAGATACACTGAGTGGCCTGTAAACCAAAATCAATATAATTTACAAGGAGAAGCCATACTGCAAGGACCTTGAGAAAAAACTGTTTAATTTGTACAATGTGAAGTTCAAAATACAAATTGAAGTCTTGCAAAATAACTTTGGGATTCTACTACTTATTAATGTTAGTATATGGAAAAATAATTTTTCTTGGGCTTCTTGCCTGGTCAAATGGCCTGGGTAGAATTATTATACTCCACCCTCTGTGTCTCTGACTCAGAAATGAGGTCAGAAAATGAAAGAAAAAAAGAATGAGAATTTTAGGAGTATTAATTAAGCCCTCCATAGCAAGCTTTTAATGATTTAGTCTTATATACTGCCAGGTTCACAGTAGCATTAAGCTATTCATATTTTTTTCTGATTTAAATAGCAGAGTCAACAATTTCATTTTAGCATTTGCAATAGGAGTGATACAGGACAAACAGCGGAATACAGAACTTTATTACATGCTCAGAAGTCCCTTTTTTCTCACTTAATTTGCAGTATTCTGACAAATAAGAAATATTGCAGTATACAAGCACCACCAATTTAATTTTCTTTTTCCTTTTATGATGTATGAGCCTCACTGACTCTCCAAATCCAACACAGTAAATTAAATAAAGGACAGTTACATTTTCTACTTGTTTACAAATGGAAATATTACATTAATATTACAAAATCAGAATTATTTTTTTTGAAGGAAATGAGATCTGACTTGAAGGAGAGTTTGATAAAACCAGCACTTCTATTATTCTTGCCAAATGCAGGGTCAGCCTGACATTCTCAGCCCTAAATTTGAGAGACTGACAAAAACTGTAGAAGTCGGGCATTTGCCAAGTCTGTGTGTACTATGTTGTTTCATTGGAAACAGAATGACTTCCACATGCTGCAGTATACAACCATGATCTGGAGGCCTAATCTAAAGTCTCATTGCCCTAAGGCTACAATGAACAGCACTGGATGCAATCTCCTTGGACTGCTGTATCAGGTTAATGTTGCAATACTCTCTGTATGATATATGTTGTCTTTCTGATTCTCCTGGTGGATTGCAAAAGAAAACCCATGTTGCTGTGACCTTGATAGGAGTAAACTGTAAGATTTTGCAAACTCCATGGATTATTTCCAAAAGGTTGAATAAATGCAACAGCTATTTCTCTTGGAAAATGGTAGTGCCCTTGGGTAATCACCAATCTTCTTTTCCACTAGTGTTGATAGGATAAGAGTACAAGGATGCATCTAAAGCTTAGTAGTAGATGTTGGTTTGACATTACGACAACCTTTCTATTTTACTGCCTTACTGGGTACTTGCTGCCTTCTTTCCTTACTCTCTTTTGCTTTCTTTTTGAAAGCTTTTAAAGCTCTGTCATTTTTAAGAAATGTACTGAGACTCTTCTGGGTTTTTTTATATCACGGAGACTTCACTGGAATGGATTTGGAAATAAAACACTACACAGCATCACAAAACATATCAGAATCCTCTCATTGCCAAGAAGATGTTTGACAGCTTGAGTCTACTAGAGTATAGTTTTGTAGGCTGCTACAAACACAGGCTACTGTAGGTTTGGACAAGTGTAGGAGAGAGGTGAGCTCTATATCAGTGGTACAGTCCCTGTGTTATTGATTGCTGTGCCTCTAAGTGGAAGGCACCTCATTTAATTTAAATCGCCCTTCATCCGAAACAGTTTAAGACAGATGCAAACAAAATATTTGTTTAAGAAATAGATCTGAAATATACAAAAGCTTATAAAGGAATTCATAGACACAAAAAAGGAAAATAAATATATTTCTGTCTAGATACACCTAGAGTAAATTTGAACATTTCTCTCATCTTGGCTGATTCAGCTAAACAAATGACACTTATCAGCTGAGGACTCTGGTTCTCCCATAGTCTGGGGTTTGTACAAAGTCATAGCTATATTTAAAACATGTACATCTTAATTGTGGTGCAGAATCTGTAGGCTTCTGCATACATGAATACAAAGGTTGTATCCTGAAACTCCTCACACAGATTCTGAAGAATCCTACTCTACTTACAGATGAGCAATAAATTGCTCAGTAGTCAGGTGAATGTGTTCTGTATGCAGAAACTGTTCTGCTTTGTGCATCTTTTTCTGTCCATGTGCATTTCTGATGAGAGCACACCCAAATAAAGTATTACTCGAAAATTTCCTTATATGGTAGGTTTTTTGTTTTAAATTTCCTTTCTAGTTAAGTAGGATGCAGTGAATTCTAGACACATTTGGATGGACTGTTCTTATTTAATGAAAGTGTAAATGTATTTGTCACAGTGACTGTTTTCTTTGTGATTTAAAAGCTATGGTGCATTGATAATACTAACCATAAGGAAAATTGTAGGGTAAGTTATGGCTCAGAATCCCTCAGAGATACAGATGGCAGAACTGACAGGGCCCTGATGGCATGACGGCATCCTTTGGCACAGCAAGAAGATTAGCTTTTTTTTTTTAATGTTTAGGTAAAAATAAGGATTACTTACTTACAAAAAGGTTTCACTCTGAGACTGAGCATTTCCTGGCCAGTAAGCAAGGGCCTTGTACTTCCTACTCAGTGAACAACTCATTAAAGAGAAAGGCAAACATGGGAGTAGCGTCCATTTCTGTCAGGATACATGAAACTCTTCCAGCTGGCTCGAGGACTGCAGGCAGCTCCAAGGCAGGAAGCCATGGCCAGTGTTCCGGGGAAAGACGGGACCGTCTCTTTTCTTGCTTGGGTTTTGTAATATTTAATCAAGGTGAACGAGTGTGAAAGGGGAAGAAGACTGGAATCTGAATCCGGGTGAAATGATCTAGAAAACAGGGATCACCAGGCTTGGACTCTCTTCTGAGTAGGCAGTCTTGAGGAAAAATGTGGAAATGTTTCGATGCTTATTTCATAGTACCTCTCTACATGCTCAGTCTTCAAAACCACAATCCTATATGATTTCAGTCTTGCACAGGCTAGGGTGTTAGTAGGCGTGTATGTGGGACTAATGAGTCAGATATCTGTATAATAATTCCAGCTAGGCAGCTTTAAATATAGTATTGCACAAGAAACTGAATTTGTCTTTCTTGTAGAAAATATAGAGCTAAAAATCATCAACAGAGACCATCAGTTTTTGCAGCGTATGTTATATTCATAGCCCAGACAAGCTGAAGAGGTGATATATTTGAGAGTGGCCAGTGTTGTGTGTGAAAAGCCATGAGCCCAGGACTTTGTTGCTCTAGATAATGCACACGGATGTAATAAAATCAAAGCTTAGAGTCTCATCTGGTGTTCAGGCTGTGGTGTGAGCACTGGATTTGGAACCTACAGTCTGCCTTTAATCATGAAACATTTGACAGGTTTAATAAAACTAGCTATATAGCCATATTTGTTTTCAGATACAATGTCTTACAGTATGGAGTAATTGTAAAGCACTAAAATATAGCAAATCTTTATTCCTTTTTCCAAACAAGCCATAGGTTATTAGTAGAGTTTTAAATGCAGCCATCAGATTCATTCCATGTACTTTTTCTATGTTGGCTCCAGAACCAGGTGGTAGGACAGGTCTGTGGAAGGAAAAGGGGAACCTACCTTTTTGTGGCCAGAGAAGAGCAGTTGGCTCTGCAGCTTACGTTTCAGTTAATGCTTTGTAGGATAAATATGATCATGTGGCTGCAGAAGAAAATAGCCAAATGTAGCAAGAGCACCAGCTTTTGAACTGTCTCCAAAACCTGAAGCTGAATAGGAAAGCTTTAACTCCTATCATTGAGTAAAAATATTAACCCTTTTTAGCTGGATCACATAGGTAAAGTCTTGGCTTCACTGAAATCATTGTTGAAATTAACCCTGACTTCAAAGGGGGTTGTAACCTCTCTAGAAAAAATTCAGTGAGACAGAGTGGACAGAGAGCGACGGAGCTTATCTGTTACTCTGCATAGTACAGCGCTTAGCTGAAGGGATCTCTGTGAAAGGCGGCATTGCAGACTGGCAAGGAGGGAGGAGGTATTGCATAGTGTTGTTCCACCTTCCATTCGTTCCACTTCTTTTAGTCATCCTGTACAAGCT